TCCTCCTCCTCCCCCTCCTCCTAAGAAAATGCTCAGATCGAGAGGGTGCGGGGTAAACCTAGGCTGGAGGGAGGCCTTCCCTCGGCTCTCAAAGGCCCCGCTCCCCCCCCATGATAATCGGAAGCTGGGCGAGGGCTGGCAAATCCGCGGCTGCGAGAAGGGTCTGCCCGGAAGAGAGAGACAGGGTCCCGGAATGAAGCTCAGCGCACTAAATAGTGAACGGGCTGCTTCCCGGAAGAAAGAAGCAATTTCCCAGAGCTCCGTTATAGCAGCCGCGGGTTTGCCAGCCTTTGCCTGGCTTCTGAATTGAGCGACGCCCGAGGCGCTCCAGGATGCGAAGAAGAAGAAACATCAACATGATAATAGGATTTTTACTAATAATACGAAGCATAATCGTGTTCATGATCCTAATAATAATGGTGACGATACTAATAAGAACGCTAATACTATACTTAATAATACTAACAGTAACAATATTAATAGTAAGCATAAACATCATCATCATCATAATACTAATACCAATAATCATATTACTAAGAACAATACTAATAATAATAGTGATACAAATAGTAGTAGTAATAGTAGTACTCATAATAATAATAATACTAATGATAATAATAATAATAACAATAATAATAATACTAACACTACGAATAATATATGAATAATCATAGTAGTAGTAATAATAATAATAATGATACTAAGAGGAAGAAGGAGAAGAAGAAGAAGAAGAAGAAGAAGCGGCATGAGCATAAGCTTTCGGAGGTCCGCGCGGGTTCCATGGATCGGCGCTGGGGGCCCTCCAGCGGTGTCTCTGGCGCCGCCCCTGGCGCGCTCCGCGCGCCAGGGAGGTCAGAGGAGGAAAAGGTACCCATACCTCTACCTTTCGCCCGTTGTCCCGCTTTGGGGCCTCCTCGGAGGCCCTCGTTGCCACCGCTGGCTTCGCTTCGAAATCCTAGTCAGAACGCACCCCGGGAGAGGTCCAGGGAGTAGCGGTATCGGTGCCCTCTTGTCTCCCCAGGAGGGAGTCCAGCGCCGATTGCGGAACTCCGCGCGGACCTCCGACGATGTCTATTGATGCCGATTTCGAAGGATGCGCCCAGCAGCGGCTTCGCCTTCTCCGCCGAGGAGTGGCGGCGGGCGGGACGGGGTGCGGCGAGGGGGGCGGCCATCTGAAGAGGCTGGGGTTCGGTCGGGCGTGCCCCCCTACGGAACGAAAAGTCAAACATAGTCGAAATATCGTCTCGGGACGATCTTTCGGCTGTTTTTGTGCATTGCTTGAAGATGTTGTATATTTCTCATCCAAAATATGCCCGTAGGAGGACACGCCCGATCTACAGTCAACCATGATAGTAAGGATGGGGCAACTTTCCAAGGCTACCCTTGCATCCTTGCCCCTTCGGTACTCGGCATCCTTCGGCATCCTGCTGCGGCGTTCCAAGGCCCTTGCACCCTTACCGCGCGTCCTTATTATCGTGGTCGGGTGTAAGGCGGGGGGGGGGGCCTTCACCGCGCATTCTTATTATCCTGGTCGAGTGTAAGGCGGGGGGGGGGCCCTCCTGCCCTCCGAGAGACGCCTGCTTGGAGAACCCTAGGCCCTAAGAGCCCCCTGCCTGCCCCAGAGGGCCCCCCCCCCCCCCCCCCCCCCCGCGACCTGCTTCGCGCCGCCGCCAGAGGACCCCGGCGGGGCCTCGCGCCCGAGCTCCTTCGCCGCGACCGACGAGCTGCCAGGCGGCTCCCCCAGACATGATCGCGCCGTATAAAAAAATGATGCCGGAGAAAAGCCCCAATCAGGGCTGTAGGCCTGGCTAGGGGGCTATAGGGCTATAGAGCTATCCGGGCAATAGAGTTGTAGGGCTATAGGGCTGTTGGGCTATTGGGCTATAGGGCTATAGGGCTGCAGGGCTTAGGGCTATAGGGCACCCCGGGGCACCCCCGGGCATCCCCGGGCACGCCCGGGCACCCGGGCACCCGCGGGCACCCGGGCACCCCCCGGGCACCCGGGCACTGGGCACCCCCCGGCACCCGGGCACCCGGGCGTGCAGCGAAAATCGGCGACAAACCTAACCTAACCACACGAATCCGCTAGGACCCCTACAGAGGCAAGCTCTGATTGGGGAATCAGGACGGGAGGTTTCTGGCCAATTTCGGCCTCGGGGGGCCCTCGCAGGGCCTCGGGGCCATCAGAAAACGACTCGGGATGAGAAACCGGTCCCGGGGAACGGGTCGGGACGCGAAGCGTCCTGGCTCGCCTATAGACCCACCGAAGAATGTTCTAAGAACCTTTTGTGGTCTCCACGAATTTAAATGTTCTTAGAACATATCTGGCTGGGACTGTCTTGTTTTAACACATCGGGTTTATGCTCTAAGAACTTGGTTTTTGTTCTTAGAATTTTTCGGGGTTCTAAGAACATGTCGTGGTAGGCCTATAGGAATGCCGGGACGGTCGGCCCCTGCTCAAAGGGACCCCGTCCTGAAAAAGTCATGACGTCGCATGTCTGGGCCTGGGCTTCGCCCCCCAGCCCGGAGATCCTGGCGTCTCCATTTTTGTCGAGCCGGGCGCTCTCGCTCGATTAATCGGGCCCTCCCGGGCCCTCGCGGGCAAGGAACAAGAAAATCAGGACGGGAGGTTTTTACCTAACAGCTCTTGCTGATAGGTTTCTAGTGGTCTCAAAAGAGAGCATCATGACTCCTCAGGGGGGTCTGGGCGGGACCCGGGGAGGCTGCCGTCGAAACCGAAATCGCTTAGGACATCCTCGCAAAATCGCTCTTGGTGCTCCCAGAACTCCATTCCCGGGCCACATTTTGGATGCCCGGAGCCAACTGTAGGCCACTTCGTGCTCTTCGACTTCCCAGAACTCCATTCCCGGGCCACATTTTGGATGCCCGGAGCCAACTGTAGGCCACTTCGTGCTCTTCGACTTCCCAGAACTCCATTCCCGGGCCACATTTGGATGCCCGGAGCCAACTGTAGGCCACTTCGTGCTCTTCGAGTTCCCAGAACTCCATTCCCGGGCCACATTTTGGATGCCCGGAGCCAACTGTAGGCCACTTCGTGCTCTTCGAGTTCCCAGAACTCCATTCCCGGGCCACATTTTGAATGTGAGGCAGGCTGATGCGCGGCCGAGGCTGAGCTGAGGCAGGCTGAGGTGAGGCCGAGGCTGAAGGCAGACTGAGGCTGAGGCTGAAGCAAACTGAGGCTGAGGCTGAGGCAGGCTGAGGCTGAGGCTGAAGCAGGCTGATGCTGAGGCAGGCTGAGGCTGAGGCTGAGGCTGATGCAGGCTGAGGCTGAGGCAGGCTGAGGCTGAGGCCGAGGCTGAAGGCAGACTGAGGCTGAGGCTGAAGCAGGCTGAGGCTGAGGCTGAGGCAGGCTGAGGCTGAGGCAGGCTGAGGCTGAGGCTGAGGCAGGCTGAGGCTGAGGCTGTGACTGCGACTGCCGTTGCCGCTGCGACTGTCATCGCGAATGCGACGTCTCGACTGCGAGAACAGCAGAATTCTACAACTGGATTTTCATCTGAATCTTAAGAGGAATGCTTTCAGATATGCTTCTACACATCGCTGTCAGGTTGCTTTGCCGGGATAATTCCATACTTTCCGCCCTTGGAGGCCCTTGCCGTCCCTCGGGGCCGTCAAACAACGACTCGGTATGAAACAGCGGTCTCTGGGGGAATGGGTCGAGACCTCCGAGGGTCGACGTTATTGTGAACAACCCAGACCTTCCAGAGAGCTATTTTTTTAGCACTGGAGACCTAAAAACCTAAAAAACTAAACGAAACAGGCTAAAATCAAGACACAGAATAGCTCTGGGATAGGTTTTTAAGTCGGGTGCTACTTTTTAGCCCTCCTGGAAGGTCAGGGAAGTCCTGACGTCGGGGGTCTGGGCTGGGACCCTCAGAGATCGACCCGGCCCGAAAAGTGGCGCAGCAGCACGGGGTCCGGGCCTCCGATCGTGTGTGTTTCCACGATATGGCGCACGTTGTCCGCAGCGTATTGGCTCTCTCAGGGAGTGGCGCGCCCGACCTGAGCACGGCGGTGGACTGGGTGGACACCCTCGAGCCCGACCTTGGCCACGCCGCCGCCGGGGAGGCCTACGCCGAGGAGCACCTGGGCCCCACCCGCCGGGCCGGCGCCGGCGCCGGCGGCGGCGGGCCAGCGCCTTGGGGGGGCTGGCCAGACGCAGGCGGGGAGGCGCCGCGTGCGGCCGAGGCTTGGGAGCCCGACGACGACGATGACGACGACGTCGACCTCATGGAGGATGCCCGCCCGCACCGCAGCTTCGTCGGCGAGCCCCGCGAGCTCGGGCCCCCCGCGCGCGGCGGGGGGCGCGCGGGGGCCCAGGGCGGGCCCCGGCGGCGGCAGCTGTCCGGCGACGAGGAGAGGCTGCAGAGCCTGCTCGACAGGGGCGGCTCCGCGGGGTTCTAGCGCGGCCGGGGGCGCTCGCGCTCGTCCGTCGACTCAGGTCGGGGGTGGACAGACCTCCTATCCTGACACGTCGATCAGTGGATTGTCCGTTTTCGGTTCTCGAGAGGGCGCCGCGGCCGCTATTTTCCAGGCTTGCGCCCGCCAGCTTTGGGCCCGAGGTCGTTTTCACTAAACCACGTTTTACTAAAGGGAGGTCTGTCCATCCCCGATTAGGGAAGCAAGCAGTGACGTAAACATAAAATTTTTGAGGTCCGCGCAGATTTCTCGGATCGGTGCTGGTTGCCCCTGGAGGCGCCTCCGGCGCCGCCCCTGGCGCGCTCCGCGCGCCAGGAAGGGGGGTCCAGCGCGGATCCGAGAACTCCGCGCGGACCTCCGAGTTTTTATGTTTATGCAATTTTTCGTTCCTCTATCCCGCTCGTCTGTCGACTGCAGTGCAAGCCCATGCCAAGAAGCACCCTGCGTGCCTCCAGGGTGCACTGGGTTTCTCGGGTTCCTATGGCTTTGCTATGGGAAGCGTGACGTTCCCACACCACCAAAAGTCAATGGACGTCCTGGGGTCTCAGGGCTGGGTTTCTTGTGGGAGGTTTCTTGTGGTCGAGCTCCTACTGCTGACGTAAGAGTGACTCTTCGCTGGAGTGACCTTTGATGCGGGCCTATTGGGGTCCCCGATCGCCGAACGCGATGCGGTGGTAGTGTATTGCGCGCTTGTGTCTGTTCCCGCCGCGGCCCCCAAAATGCCGCGCACCAAAGGTCACTCTTATTCGGACCACGCCTGCATGTACCGAAGAAGAAAACCAACGGCATAAACATAGACTGTTGGCGCTCCGCGCGGATTTCTTGGGTTTGCGCCCGACCTCCCTCCCTGGCGCGCGGAGCGCGCCCGGGGCGGCGCCGGAGGCGCCGCTGGGGGGCCCAGCGCGGATCCAAGAAGTCGGCGCGAAGCGGCAAACATTTCTGCTTCTGGCGCTGCTTCTTCTTCTTCTTCTTCTTCTTCTTCTTCTTCTTCTTCTTCGGCCCTGGCTTTCGCCTCGTGCCTGAAATCTCCAGCGGGCGATCGGGACGCTGCGCTCGCCGCCTCTGTAGTGCAGCCGACCCCGGCACAGGCCGGGGGCGGGCGAGCGTGGCGCCTCGGCGCGCGCCGCCGCGGCGGGCGCCCCGCGGAGGGGGCCGCCTCGGCGGCGCGCCTCGGCGGCGCGAGGCGGCGGGGGAGAGGGCCCGGCCCCCCGCGGGGCGCGCGCAGGCCACCGCGCGGGGGCGCGTCGCGCCGTGGGCTCGGCGCACGCCGCCCTCCTCCGAGGGCTCGGCGCGGGGGCGCGGCGGAGGCCGTGCTGCCGCGGGGCGCGGGGCGCGGAGTCAGGCGACCAGGATGCCGACGACGACGACGACGACGACGACGACGACGACAGCGGCGACGACGACGGCGACGACGACGACGAGGTAGAGCCTTGCACCAGGCGGCGCGTGAGCAGAGGAGCAGCGGAGATCGGCCGAATGCCCTCGGCCTCCTCTCCGGCCTCCGACCGCCGGCCCCCGCCCGCGGGGGGCGCGAGGGGCGCGAAGAGCATCGCGGGGGGCGCGGGGGCGCGAAGCCCGACGACCCATGGAGGGCGCCACTGCTCGCGCGGGAGGGTCGCGAGCTCCCCGCCTCGCTGCCGCTCCCTCGCCCTGCTCCGCGCGCTGCCCCCGGCGCTCCGCCCTCCGGCCGCCTCCCTCGAGGGAGGGAGCACGAGGACCACGGGCAAGCTGCCGCGGGGCCTCGTCGACGCGGGTCTCCCGGCCACGGTCCAGGCCGGCCGTCGCGGCTTCGCGAGGGGGGATCCACAGAGTGACGATGGCCAGGATGGGCGACGGTCAGGGCCACCGACACCGACGTCTCCGCGCCTGTTCGTGATCGTGGTCCTCGCCTTCTTCCCTCGCTCCCCCGCCACCCTGGCTGTGGTGCCCCTTCGGAGCACACCCGGGCCACACACGCTGGTCGCAAGCGGCGCCAGGCAGAAGACTTGTGCGCTCACGGGCCCGCAGGCCGCGGCGAAATTAAAGGAGGCCCTGGAGGAGGAGGAGGAGGAGGAGGAGGAGCAGGAGCAGGAGCAGGAGCAGGAGCAGGAGCAGGAGCAGGAGCAGGAGCAGGAGCAGGAGCAGGAGCAGGAGCAGGAGGGGCCAGGAAAGGCACTTGCGGGCAGCTGCCGACCGGATCGCCTGCGGCGCCGAGGCTGCAGCCCAGCCCGTCGGGAGCTGCCCGCCTCTCCCCGGCCTCTCGCTCGGCCCCTCCCCTTGGGCATCGCGCGGGCGTGAGCATTTTTGTTCCTCGGCATCGCTCGGACGCGTGCCTCTTTTTCGGCGAGGACCGTCGAGGAGCATTCTGGGCCATCTTGCGAGAAGATACGCGCACGAGGCCGCAAAATGCACAGGGAGTGGACGTCCGAGCGATGGCGAGCTGCAGGCCCTTGTGCCTTCGCAGGGATCGAGGAGGAAACAGCTGCACAAGCACAAACTTTCGGACCTCCGCGCGGGTCTCGTGGATCGGCGCTGGGCGCCCCTGGCAGCGCCTCCGGCGCCGATACAAGAGTCCGAAAGTTTATGTTTATCCTGTTTCTTGTTGTCCAGGGGTGCAGCACCGGCTGGCCGCCCTGGCCGCTCCGCAGCGGTCCCTGCCGCTTGAGCGCTCTCCCTGCCCCCCCGCCCGTGGCTGCTTCCTCCTCGCCCTTTTTCCCGCTCTTGCTGCCGGACAATTGGCGATGCCGTTTCCCAGCTTGCCCGAGCGCGCGTGCGGACTGCCTCCGCCGCGCTGCGACGTAAAAGTTTCTTGGTGTCCTAACGAAGACTGGTTCGACGGAAAGTCGGTTCAACGGGTACCTTGTCAGCAGAGTTCTAGTTCAGCACAGGCTGATACGGCCGAGCGGGCTCTGGGGAAGAGGCGCTGCGGGGAGGGCTCTGGGGGAGACAGTTTCGGGGGAGGCGGTCTCCGGGGGGAAATGGGCAGCGGGGGAAGGGGCTATGCGAAAGCAGTTCTTAGGGAGCTTGTCTTGCATGTCCCCCTCCTCACTGACACCTTTGGCATCGCTCGGACGTGTGTCTTTTTCCTTGGGCGAGGACCATCGAGGAGCATCCTGGATCATTTGGCGAAAAAGCCACGCACAAAACCGAAAAAAGCACAGGGGATGGACGTCCGAGCGATGGCGAGGCTTGGGTCACACCCGCATGGGCGCGCGGATGGCCGCCCCCTGCGCACCGCGGCCGGGGCCGGGGAGCCTGCTCTTCTCAGCGGAGCAGTGCCAGCGCGACGAGATGGCCGCGCTTCGCTCGGGGGCGGACAGAGGACGGACACACCTAAACTCGAGGAAGGGCGAATAGCCAAGGAAGCAGCAGGGGAAAGGAGGGGGAGGAGAGACGGCCAAGGAGTGAGGAGGGCAGGAGAGCCGAGGGCGAAGGCGCGGGCAGTGAGAAGGCCGAAGCCATCGCAAGTGTACGCTGTGCGAGCTCTGGATAGCATCGGGGGTGGACAGAGCCCCCAACAGTGACACGTCGATTAGTGAATTGTCCGTTTCCGGTTCTCGAGAGGGCGCCGTGGCCGTGATTTTCCAGGCCTGCGCCCGCCAGGTAAGGGCCTCGGGTCGTTTTCGCTAAACCACGTTTTATTGAAGGGAGGTCTGTCCATCCCCGATTCGCTCCACGCGGAGCACGAAAGGCGACCTTCTCGATCACCTCGCTTCTGCCTTGTCGGATCTTGTCTGGGCCTCCCGTGGAGCCCTCGTCACCACGGCTGGATTCGCCTTGGAGTCGCGGTCAGAGCGCACTCCGAGAGAGGTCCTGGGAGTACAGCCAACATCGGCCTCAGAGGCAGGAGGCCCTTGCATCCCTATGTTGGACATCGACTGCATGCCTTCTGTTCCCTCGGTCCAAGGAGGCCGCGGCACCTTGACGCGCTCTGGGTACCGTGCATCCCTGTACTTTTTATGCTCGTCGAGACTGGCCTCTTCGCCCCGGAGTTGTTGCTCGTTGCTTTGGCTACCTCCACGGGGCCCATGGGCCCTTGGCGAAGGCGCTCGCGCTCTCGACGTGCTGTTGTGGCGAAGTTCCGACGGCATGCCATCCCAGCGGTGTCCTGGCCCGGGTCGCTTCTCCAGGCCTGGAGCCCTCGATGGTCCAGGTCACCCGCGGGGACGCGAAGACCGTCGCGCTTCTCGCACGTCGCGGCCTTGGCCGACGAGCCGCCTTCCTCCAGAGAGGCCTCGCGCGGACGCAGAGAGAACCGCGCATCCCGGAGCGCTATGCGCGAAATTCGGCGACCTTGCTTCCCCGACGCGATGCCGGCCAGTTTCGTCGTGATTTGTTCCAGACGCGAGGATTTCTGGCTCTTTGGCCATAGCTCGCTTCGCCGGCGGCCGATGAGCATCAGGAGGGAAAGAAACACACAGACACAATTATTCGCCGATTCCCCCAAAAATATAGGAAAATATGGGAAGTGGGGGGAAGACGAAAACCCAGAAAATATGAGAAAATATGGGGAAGCTTTTTATTTGTGTGTGTTTTTATTTGTGTGTCCCAAGGCCCCTTCAGAGCACGATCTGGACACTCCCAGAACGCTCTCGGCGAGGCGCAGCTCACGCAAGGGCCGGACAGCCGCCGAGAACCTACGAAAACGTTCGAAAACCTCGAGCCTCAAGGTGCGCGAAATTTGGCAACCCAGATGCCTGCAGCTGCTCCCGCGGCGCCGTCGGCTCCCCCGCACGCGGCGGCCAGGTCCACGTCACGGTGCCGGGCAACCTGGTCGGGCGCGAGCGCTTCTCAAGCAGGGGCGGCCAGCGAGGGTAGCTATGTAGGCGACGGAGGCGACTACCAAGAGAGAGAGAGAGAGAGAGGCAGAGAGCTTGGCCCACCCCCAGAGGCGCGAAGTTTGTCGCGACTCACGCGTCGCGGCCCAGGCTGGAGAGCTGCTCTTCCCCGAGGTGGCCTCGCTGGGGCGCGAAATTACCCCGGCATCGCCAGGCGCGATGCGCGAATTTAGGTGGCGTATTGCCCACACGTTCTATGCATGTGCATATGCACGCAGCAGCACATATGTATATATATATATATATATATATATATATACACGCAACGATCGAAAGTGCGTGTGAACAAGAAGGAGAGAGAGATGTAGGAAGAAGGTGAACCATATGTATACAGAAACTTAGTCACAGATGTATGGCATACGACATGTATATATATATATATATATATATGTGTGTGCATTACCCAGCGAGGACCCCAAGCGGTGTGTTTCTAGCAACCGACATTGGGCCACAATATATTGTGAAATATATATGTTACTACCCATGTTGTTCAATAGATGTTTGAAATTATTATTGTGCAATGTCTGTTGTGCCACTCATGTAGTTCAATCAATGCTGTGAATGATCCAGAAGCGCGCGGCAGGCGCGAAAATCAAATCGTACCAAGTATGTGCTGCAATCAATGTGGGACAATACTTGTGGTGCAATCTACGTGGTGCAACCTATGCGGTGCCATCTATGTGGTGCAATCTAGGTTGTTCAACATATGATGTGCAATCTATATGGTGCTGCAATCTACGTGGTGCATTCTCTGCGATTGTGCAACATTGGATGTCCAACATATGTGGTGCTGTCTACGTTGTGCAACATATGTGGCGCAATCTATGCTGTGAGCGATCAACATGCGCGCCGCAGGCACGCGATTTTTTCTCGTGCCATCGATGCGGTGCACTCCAGCGGCGACGACGGACGGCGACAAGGCGGCGACGGGACGGCGACGGGGCGGCGACTGCGACCACATAGCCGCCAGACCGGCCAGCCAGCCCAGGCGACAAGGCGGCGACGACGGGGTGGCGACGGCGACCACATAGCCGCCAGACCGGCCGCACGGTCCGGACGACGGGCGGCGACGGGGCGGCGATTGCGACCACATGGCCGCCAAATTGGCCACACGGCCCAGTTCCCTAGAGCACGAGTAAGTACCTCTAAGTGCAAGCACTGTTTGGGGGGTAGCGATGTATATATATATATAGAGAGAGGAGAGAGAGAGAGAGAGAGAGAGAGAGAGAGAGAAAAAAAAAAAAACAAAAAAAACATCAGCCATTGTATGGTGCTTGCTCGCATCCTGTGCTGGTATCGTTCATGGCAACCCGATCAGGGGTGCGTCTGCACAAGAAGAGAGGTAGGGCTAGAGGGAAGTAGGGAAGGAAGGAGGGAGAGGCAACGGAGCCTGCATCGGCCAAGCAAGCAGGCGTGATGAAAGCGCTTCGCGCACCGCGCTCAGTGCCATTGGGCATGTTGCATCGGCGTATTCCGAACGTTGCTAGACGTAGAGGATATGCCAGGTCTAGGCACGCTTCGGTCTCCATTTCTGAGGGTGCCACGAGGCAGGAACATAAGAGAGAGAGAGACAGAAGGAGAGAAAGAGGGAGGGGAGGAAGCGGGGGAAGTAGAGGCGAGATAGAGAGAGACAGGAAAGAGAGAAGCTGGGTGCGTTCGCACATATGCGAGGATATATTTATATATATATAGAGAGAGAGAGAGAGAGAGACAGAAAAGAGACAAGAGACAGGAAAGAGACAAGAGACAAGCAAGGTGCGCCCATTTGCGACGCCCACGCTGGCGACACTTGCAGGTCCGAGTCCGAGTCCGAGTCCGGGGTGCGTTCACGCCATATCTGGCAGAATATGCTCCCACCCTTCTTTATCCGCCGATGAGTGTCGTAGCGGACCTTGATCCCCGAAATTGCCCCATTGTGCGATGCATTGTCAGAAAGGAGAGTTGTGCACGTTGGAGGAGGAGGAGGAGGAGGAGGAGGAGGAACAGCAGTTGGCGGATGAGCAGGAGGAAGAGGAAGAGGAAGATGCGAGAGGATGATGGGGAGGAGCAGCAGCAGTAGGACGAGCAGGAGCGTGAGGAGCGAGAGGAGCAGGATGACCGTGGGGAAGGCGCAGGAGGGCAACGGAGGGGGACGACGACGACGAGGAAGGGACCGCGTCCACGAATGTGGCCCTCGCTGGGGCGAGAGCGCCATTCTGA